TGTACGTGTGCACGTATTTTGCCCTTGAAATGAATTTGTCTTAGTGGCACTGGAAGAAAGCCACGCTGTCCCTAAACCAAGCATCAAGGGAGAAATCTTCTAATGAAGATTGGAAGAAATACAGAAAAAGCACAGCTACAAGTTTGACAAGTTAGAAATTATCAAAATTGCTATTTTCTGTCGTTCCTGGTTGCACACATTTATTTTATTCAGGGACTATGGTTGCTGGGCTGTCAGAGAGCATTTGTCTGAGGTTATAAGGAAAGAGAGATGTGTTGAATACCTTTTAATAGGTGTTATCTCTCTGGGGCCAAAATCTGAATCCTGCTTTTCCATAAACAAGAAGCAATTTTAAATCTTGATAGCATGCTGCCATCAAGGAGAATTTTAACCAATTGAGGGCTCTGATCATTTCAAATGCAACAGACTTGTCCAAGCAGCCTTCCCTTGCATTGAAATCATACTCATTCTAAATCTGGTTACTTTTTCTGAGTCAATGAAGCGCCTCCAAGGATGGAAGTAGAAATTATCTTTCTAGGGATTGTGACTAAGTTTCAGTTGTGTTATAGGAAAGGGGTCCCAATACAGACCCCAACAGAGAATTCTTGGATCTCGTGCAAGAAGGAATTCAGGGCAAGTCCACAGTGCAAAACAAAAGCCAGTTTACTAAGAAAGTGGAGAAAGTACAGCTACTCCCATGGACAGTAGGGTGCCCCCCAAGTAAGCGGAGGAACATGTCCACTCCCAGGTATAATACTGGTTTATATAGGATAAAAAATATCATGGGGAAAGGTGCTCTGCTACATGGGTTTGTGATAAAGGATTAATTTTCTTAATCACTACATTTTGTAAAAAGTTGATATTATCTTTAAAGCAAAATTAGGAATGCTTCTGTTCAATATATCGGGATATCAGGACACTCCCAAGTCTGGGTCTGTTTAGTAAACATTATCAATCTGTTCCATTAACCTTGCACATCTAGAGGCTAGGAATACCTAACTTTCTGGGAATGCAGCCCAGCCGGTCCCAGCCTAATTTTTCCTAGTCCTCACTCAAGATGGAGTTGCTATGGTTCGAACACCTCTGACAGGTTAGCCGCTTGCATGCTGTTTATCTGCAAATTCTGGGCAGGTCACTTTGTACACAGGACAGTACTATGGAAGGTGGACAGTGAAGAGGAGGTGGCTTCACTCTCCCAGAAGGAAGGAGACAAACATTGGCTAACCACCGACAAGGTGTCTAGGCGCAGTATTATGTACCTGCTACCTGCTTGGTGCCAGTTCGTCATCCTAATGGATGAGCAGAACAAATGGACATCACCACCCTACGGAGCTTGCATGCATGCACCAGTGAGAGTCCTTCATTTCTGTGACCCAAGCTAATGATTTTTACATGAATCAGGGGAAGATCAGGGCAGCCCTCTTTAGAAGAAAATTCCAAAAAAAGATTAAAAGAAAGTATTGCAATGAAGGCAGGAATGAATAAAGAAATGAAGGGAGAAGAGAAGAAAGAGGGAGGGGAGAAAGGAAAAGAAGGATGCAAGGACAGGAAGAAGGGAAGAAAAGAGGGAGGCAAGAAGGAAGAAAAAAATAAAGGAGCAAGTGTAATAAAGGAACAGAAGAAAGGCAACATGATCGATGAGCATTTTTCTAACTAGACATTTCACTAAAGGGCACCTTGGCCAGCCCTAGATTAACAAGAAAGACGTAACTGAAAATACCTTCCACCCAGGACACTTGAATTCTCCAGCCCTTTCTCCATGAAGCCTCTGGTCCAAAGCATGACTGTGGTACCCTTTTGTTTTGCCCAGGGTATTTGGCCTTCCAGGAAGGCCGTATTTAAGGCAGGAATTGATTTATAGTCCTTCACCGTGTTCCTTTCACAAAATAAGAAATCCCCCAGTGTGCCCTGCCTGGGGGAACCCAAAGACCCTCCTAGGAAGACTGGTAAATATCCTGCGTCAAGAAATCCATTTTCTCCCTGTAACAAAGAGGGCACAAAATGGAATGCTGGCTCCATGCTTTCAACAGCACGTGCTCCCCTCTCTATTGCCAAGTTTCTGTTTCATGTTATATCTCAACATCTGAATCCTCCAAGAATTATTGTAAAACCTGCTTGTGGCTGAGAAGGAGCTTGTCTGGCTCCCTCAGCTCCGTATCCAGTGATAATGAATGGGTCAGCATAATTACCGTGTTTCCTCACACAGGCAGCCAGCTGCTCTGCCAGATTGTGAATTTTTCATTTTCTTTATTTCAAAATCCAGGGTGTTCCTCTGAAAACTTAATAGTTGAACTGTGGCAAGACAGATTTGGAGTCAAAGCCATTCCCACTCATTTTCTTCCCAGTCCTAAAGCAAGTGTCTCATCTCTCATTACTTCTGGGCTTTTATGATATCAGAATTTACTCGTGCTCCCCATTAAAACCCAACACCTCTCTGTAGTTCCAAGCATACCAGTTGCCATGTGATCCAGGAAACTCAGGTGCTAGGTGCCGGCAAAACATTTAAATAAAATAGCATGATCTGTCTTTAGCAAGAATAAAAGAATTAAAAATAACCTTTATGGTCTTCTCAGATACAAACAGAAAGACAGCATCATTCTCGGTTCTACGGTCCTCATAATTTACCCACATCGTGATAGAAAGGCACAGTAGAATCCATAAAATAGGAAGGCTGTTGCATTTTTAAAAACATACAGATTTCTAGATAATAGCCAGTTGGTCTTCACTTTAGTCGTGTTCAGGGGTTTTATATGGGCCCTTACAATTGCATCAGTAATTCGGAGTGGCTTCTGTAGAAAATCTCACCCACTCCCTTTACCCACCATGTACGTACAAACATACCGTATCTATGCATGAAGGCATAATTCTTTCAGGTCTAAGTGCACTCTGTGGCCACCCCATCCAACCTCCTCATTAGCAGCTGGGGCCTCCATTGAGGCTCCCCATGCACATTTTTTTCCTTCCAACTCTTTTCCCTTTTGGCTCCTTCTACAACACACACCTGGGTCCACGCATCCATGAACGTGGAAGGGACTCTGAATGATAGGAAGACATGAGGGGGAACGCGTCTAATCCTGCAGCCCATGGTGGGAAGGGGACAGCTCTTCTTGGCAGTTTGGATAGAGGGTGGAGACAATTTTAACGTGAAACAAGCCACAACCCCTGCCTCGTCGAGGTTCGCTCTTCTGCAGAAAGCCTGGTAAAGGCGTTTGTTGTGCTGGGTTAAGTCAGAGCGCTTCCTTCATGGTGGGCCTTCTCAGCCTTTATTGTGGCTCTACTTGAGACAGGGACTTCCCAAAGGCATTTTTTTCAGACAAGCATCCTCTGTGTACACAGTTTGGGAAACACTGCCTATTGCTTAGTCAGATGGGACAAGCATGGTCCACATAGTGAGGGTACTGGGAGGGTCAGAGAAGTGAACTGAGCTTGAAGGCAAAAGTGATTTCCTGGCCCATGGGCCCTGATGAGTTAGGATTTCCCTGAAATACAAGGAAGGCCATCTCAGGTAGAGGAAACAGCATTAGTTATCAGGGGCAGGGGTAATCATCAGGCTTAATTTCCTTCTGAACTCCTCCCCTCCTCATCATGCTCAGGCTATTCTCCCCCAGGGAAGAAATCCCTGCCCACATTTTTTTTTTTTTTTTTGAGATGGAATCTTGCTGTTTCCCAGGCTGGAAGGCAGTGGTGCCATCTCAGCTTACTGCAACCTGTGACTCCAAGGTTCAAGCAATTCTCCTGCCTCAGCCTCCCGAGTAGCTGGGACTACAGGCATATACCACCATGCCCAGCTAAATTTTGTGTTTTTAGTAGAGATGGAGGTTTCACCATATTGGCCAGGCTGGTCTCAAACTCCTGACCTTGTGATCTGCCCACCTCAGCTTCCCAAAGTGCTGGAATTGATCCACCACGCCTGGCCACCACATTCTCCTTTTAAGAGTCAGGGTCCCCGCCTCCTCTCATATTTGTAATTATGGTGGTTGCCTTCGCCTTTAAATGCTGCACAAGAGTTTAGCAGGCTTATGAGATATTGGTAATGAGCTATTTCTCAGAGCATTTTTGCTTCCTGCACTCAAGACACATACATGTGTCAATGGGAACACTTCACTGAAAAATAAAAATAGGATGGGGGAAAGCTATGAATAAAAAACACTCATGCAGTTTGGCCCCAGAGATAACTACTGGCACGTGGAAAGGCGTGTATATGTGTATATCAATACGTTCATATCAGCATATGTACATGTAGATATGTTTATATACATGCACACATTCATACACACGTACACATGCATATTCACCTAAGTATATTTCACACACGAATACACATGTACATATAAACATAGGTATATGTAATGGTTGAAAAGACATCACACATCTTGCAATCTGCCCTTCTGAAAATCTGCCTGTTGGGCGTGGTGGTCTGTATCTGTAATCCCAGCACTTTGGGAGGTGGACACAGGAGGATTGCTTGAACCCAGGATTTCAAGACCAGCCAGGGCAAAGTAAGGGAGATTCCATCTCTATAAAACATTAACAAATTAGCCAGGCATGGTGGCACCCACCTATCTGTGGTCCCTGCTACTTGGGAGGCTGAGGGAGGAGGATCACTTGAGCTCTGGAGGTCAAGAGTGCGATGATACGTGATCGCAGTACTGCAATCCAGCCTGGGCAACAGAGCCAGTCCCTGTCTCAAGCAAGTTAACTACTTGTGCAGTGAGCTTTTATCCTGTTATTTAGAATTCTTTGCAAATGTTTGTCAGTCACTGTATTCTCCCGGGCTAGGGGCCCACTGTGTTAACTCCATCCTCTCTGGAGTCCATCCCTGGCCTCTGTGCTACTCTTTGCTTTTTAACCTCCTGACTCCTGGAAGTGGGTGGGGTCCTGCTGGGTCCCTGTGCAAGGACAAAGGTTTTGGAGGCGGTTTCCTCTACGGCAGGATGTGCATCTGACGGCCTGTATATTCTCTCTCTCTCTCTCTCTGTCTCTCTCCTCTCGCCCCACAGTGCCAGGCTTCCCGTATCCAGCTGCCACAGCTGCGGCAGCCTACCGAGGGGCGCACCTGCGTGGCCGCGGCCGCACCGTGTACAACACATTCAGGGCTGCAGCGCCCCCGCCCCCGATCCCGGCTTATGGCGGGTAAGTGGGGCAGCCTCCAGGGCGGGCCTCCCTGCACCAGTCCTCCCTCCCCAGAGGCACGGAACTGTTTGCCAGTGCATGATGGTCTTGACTCCCCCCACCCCCACCTCCCACCCCCAGAACCGCCCCCGGCATGCAGCCCCGCGCGCACCTGCAGTGGAGCACCTTGCTAAGAGTATTGAAAAATGAGTGTAATTTGTCCTGTCATGGTTGGTGCCTTTAAGCATTCTACATGTCACATGTTGTTATGTAAATTCTCTTTGAAACTGAATGCTGGAGAACAGAGAAATGGTTACAGCCAAAGATGTATTTCTGATGATTGCAAACATCTGGTTATTAAGGAGGTTGGACCACATTTGCCCCTTGAATTCCTCCACGGAAAGACGTGAGGTTTTCATACATAAAAAATCACTGGGGTGGTATTGCCTCCTCCCCAGAGATATCTTCAGTTTTAAGGTTCATGAATCTTTGCCTGCAAAGAGAAAATTAGGTGTGGAGTCACATGCAAAAAAGCAAGAGTTAATGAAATTGCAGTTAAGATGTATTGTAGTTCCGTTTTCCAAAATGGCATTTGCCTTCCTTTCTCCTCCGTGGGGAAAATGCAGACTGGTCTGTTTCCCATTGCCAATTTGCACCTTCTGTGCATGGACTTTGATACTGCCAGGTGAATATCGAGGAATGGCATCAATGCTCAGTGAGAGAGATGAAAAAATGGTACTGATATGTTGGGTGCCAGTCTTGAAGTGCTAGTCCCTCTGTCCCTCTTTTAGGGATCCTGCTAGAATATTCCTGCACCTCTGCAGTCGGAGAGAGGGATGCCTCCACAGCAGTGGTCCTCGACCAGAGGACATTTGCAAGGTCTAGAGACATTTTTGGTTGTTAGAACAGGAATGGACAGATGCTGTGTCCTCTACTGGGTCGAGTCCAGGGATGTGTCTCAATAGCCCCCAACAACAAAGACTTTTCAGGTTCAAAGTCAGTCATGCTACGGCTAAGAAACCCTGCTCTGTGTTATATTCAGCGATCCCCAAGAGGCTCTGGCAGGAGACTTTCCTGGCCAGCAACTGACATTCTGCTGTGTAGAAGAAAACAGGGCTGCATTTAAGACTGTGTGGAAAGGGTTAATGTCCTTTGTCTAGCTGTTGCTTGTAAATCTTTCAGAAAATCCAAATTAGCCTAGATCATCTATTATACTCATGACAGAAGGAAACACTTTTTTTCAGAGCCTATTCATTCTAAAACAGAGCATTTGAAATGTTTCAAAAATAAACACAGTAAAACAAAGAAAGAAAGAAATGAGCCTATGTAAAACTATCAGGAAGGGAAATTAAGGAAAAGTAGTAAGACAATGTCCATCAAGTTTCCTGTGTCACCATTAGAATTGGGTCAACCCTGGGCTTCTTGGACAAAGCAAGAGCTCTCTCTCTCTATATATATATATATTGACTGAAAAGATGATGGATAGTAACAAACCAAGAATGAATCAGCTATAAATTCTCCCTCGTTCCTGTCAAATGTATTTGCATGTCTTAAGCCTTATACATGACCGTGCAATATAAGGGATTGTTGATATAGTTTTTATTCTCTAGTCTAACAGTACTGAGCCCATTTTACGGATCCAGAAATGCAAAAATAAAGATTTGTTATTCCCAAGATCATGTAATGCGTTATGAAGGAAAAATAAAGTCCCAAGTCACCTCTGGGCTCTTCTAACTAGTAAGGCAAGATTCGTAAGCTGTAAATGCAAAATTGCACACACCACATTCGTTTGTCTGAAAATTGTTCTCAGTACATGGCAACTGAAGCTTTTTGGTATATCTACCATCAGTATCTCACTACTATATTAAACCGCAAAAGAAATGAAAGGAAAAGTACATGGCTTATCCTCACACCAACAATTTGTAAACGTCTCAGAATAACACACCTGCTGTAAAATCAAAATTAGCTAACTTATATTGAACGTGCTCTTTTTTGGGAATAACCATGCATAACTAATCAGTGCCATGTTCACCAGGGAGAGACAAAGCCATTTCCAAATGATCAAACAATGTGTTTGTCACTACTTGGGATGGAAATTAATTTTAATATTCCAGCAATATCTGTGATCAGTTTGGTGATAAAGGTGGATTGTGCCTCTCTTTTGATAACTGTATGGCTGGAATTCTGAAGCCATACTTGGAAGGAAGATCAAATTCTCAACAGAGAAGTAGTTGTCCCCAGAAGAACTGGGGTTGCAGCCATTCATGTCTGCAACAATCTATTAGAGCTAGGTGCTGGTCAAAAAGAAGGAAATTCGTCTGGTTGCTTCACTGGATTATAAACTGCTTGGAGTGAATTGGCATGGAATGAAAAACTTTAAGCCCAACGTTTTAAAGGTTTCAGTTCTCCTCAGGAATATAAGGCTCAGGCTGCAGGAGATGGCAGGGGGATGGTTCCTCTTCGAAAGGAACACAGCACAGTGGGGCACAGGCCAAGAGTTGGCTGGAAGATTGAGGACCCCTGTCTTATGTTCAGTGAAAGCAAATAGCAAAAAGGTTGGAGGTACTCATTGCCAGGAAGGAGCATCATTAGGATTCAGGTGGCCCAGAGAGTGTGAGTTTCCTGCAGCCTTTTGTCTCCAAAGTCCTTTGGAGGAAAACTTCTAGGTTTGAGTGACATCTTTATCCCCGCCCCATTCAGCTCACCCTAAGACCCTATGACTCACACCTATCATGCTTTAGGCACTGTTGTGTGCTAAAGAGACAAATGGCACCTTCAGAGCCGTTTCTTCTGGTTGGGGCAGGGGACCATTTCAATAAACAGTGATAAGTGATACAAGAGGGTATTGTGTGAGTACCAGGGTCCTTAGCCCAACTTGGGTGTTTCAAGAAGGCATCCAAGAAGCGAAGAAACAGGGGACACATGTAAGTCCAAATATCTCCTAAATTGCCACAGTAAAATCTTTCTGTGATCCCTCCCCTACCCTGACACCCAGCCATCTCCATTTTTTCTAAGATATCCCCTCTACTGCATTAATTAAGAATGTATTGTTTCCACTGTCACCAATTGAAGGCCTATCTAACTGCCAACCTTAATCTGTTCTTCCTGAAGTATCCGATATGAATCTATGTTCTTACTAAAAACAGCAGTCAAAAAATGTATCCCAGGTCCATGCATGGTTTCCCTATTTTTTTCTTCCTGGGAGACTGAAGAAAAGATCCTTTCGAATCTCCATGGCTACTTCTGTGGAAGCTTGGGTGATCCTTGGAGGTATCCAACATAAAGACAGTCACATGAGAAGAGGCCCTAAGCATGCTCTTCATTTATTTCCTTCTTAAAAATTTAATTTTTGAGACAGTCTCACTTCGTCACCCAGGTTGGAGGGCAATGGTGCGATCTCGACTCACTGCAACCTCTACCTCCCGGGTTCAAGCAATTCTCCCATTTCAGCCATAATTCCAAGTAGGTGGAATTATGGTGCCTGCCATCACATCTGGCTAATTTTTGTATTTTTAGTAAAGATTGGCTCTCACCAGGTTGGCCAGGCTGGTCTGGAACTACTGACCTCAGGTGATGCCGCTTGGTCTTCCAAAGTGCTGGGATTATAGGCATACGCCATTGTGCCCAACCATTCATCCATTTCCTTTCATTGTTTTTTCCTTCCATGTCTTGGTATTTTCTGAGTATCAGCTTCCACACAGCTGAAGAACATAGGTTATGAAGAGGCCCCATTATCTTTTGTCTCAGATGCCTAAATAGAAACCCCTTGGGACATTAATACATGATTCCCCCTGGGCTAGGGACAGTTGTGGACCGTGGTATGATCATAGGAACAAGTGCAAAACACTAGGCCAAACCAACCAACTCCCAACTGATTGCCAACATCAACTGAAACAGACAGAGATGAATTAGAAAGTCATGTCTACGTAGCCTATGGATTTTACAATCTTAGGAAGACACTGGGTTTAAGGTAAGAGTGGGCCTTAGTGTTCTACCCGTACTGGCCTGGATAGGTCACTTAACGTCTGTAGACACAGTTTCCTTAAGAGGACAGCGAGGGATGTACCTGCCCCCTTAGGGTTGATAAAGGGTGAAGGAGGAAAATCCATGTAAGGTGACAACTTGGTCCATCCTATGACATGCATTCAGTGAACCGTACCTGCTGTTCTCCAGGTTGATGTACTTAGGGACTTTATGAGCCACCTATACTCTTCTGAACGTCCCTTTTGCTTGTGCTTGAGTACACAGGAAGACCCATGTCTCCCTCTGTGCATCATTTATCTTTGCAAGGGCGCACCTGCAATCTCACAGACCTCCATTTCCTTCAAGCCACAGAAGTAGCTGAGGCACTTCCATTGCTTCTGGAATATGTAGATCGGAAATACAGTATTAAGTAGGTAAGAGTCACAGAGAAAGCAGAGTGGAATTTTCCTGATTTCTCCTTGCATTTGATCTTGGAGTCAATTTGATCGTTCAGTTTGATTGAGAAACCACAATGCCTGGTCAGCTTCCTATGACTCACATTTGGGAGGAATTACCCAAGAGGTCATTGCTGTTCAGGAAGCTCACAAGCTGGTTATTTACGCATCAAGATAAAACGTGGAAGCATTGGAGACAAACGCTATAAACTTAGTATCTCTAAGGTTAGAAAACAGCAGCTAGACCCCAATCTGCTCCCTCGAAGAGGAACTCCCTGAGTGCCTATTATGTACCATGCATATTTCCTGGGAGTACGATGGACTGCTCTAATGGATCATCACATGGATAACAAACATGTGTTATTGTTTTTGAGATGGAGTCTCACTCTATCACCCAGGCTGAAGTGCAGTGGTGTGATCTCAGCTCACTGCAAACTCCTCCTCCTGGGTTTGGGCAATTCTCCTGTCTTCAACCTCCCAAGTAGCTGGGATTATAGGCATGCGCCACCATACCTGGCCGTGTTTTTTATTATTATTCTAAGCCTGAGCATCTAGTGTCAGCTGAGGCTTTGGGTCTTGGTTCTCTAGGTATCTGAGCAGGAT